TGCGTTGGCCTTCAGGCTGGTCCTCGACGGTGTGGTGACCTTGGCGCTTCCAACATCGGATGCAAAGTCGAATACAACACGTTCAACCATTGATTTTACGCTGTGAAATCCGGGTACAACAGTTTTGGCTCTTTGCTCTCCCGAAAAGGACACCTTTCCTTGCACATCTAGGGAAGCCCACCGCGTAGGAAGCTCCGGACGACCGCTCCGGACATGTCGCCTGTGGTCGATAAGCGCCAGCCCATAAGGTAGGCCGGGTCATAGCCGGGCACAGAGGCCAGATCCAAATACTTCTCCTCAGGGGTGGACCACATTCCACAGAAGGGAGTTGCACAGCAACACAGCGGCAACAGGGGGGAACAAGCAAATGTGTCGGAGAGTTCTGGAGTGTGCTGGCTAGAGAATACTAGAGTTATAAAAAACTTTCATATGGTAAGGCCAGAATCCTTGATTTACAAAAAAGTCGGAAAAAACACAAAAAAAGTCAAAGTCAAAAAACGTCAAATTGAAAAGTAAAAAAAAGTCAACCATAGACCACGGCTCGAAAAAGTCAGACACAAATCAAAAAAGTCAACTTCAACAAACAATTAGAAAAAGTCAAAAAAAGTCGAACCATGTTAAAAAAAATAAAGTCAAAACAGGTCGAACAAAAAGCGAACCAAGTCGGATCTGGGCAAATTGACTGTTTTTTATATTCTCTGAAACTTTCTGATTTGACTTTTTTGACTTTGACTTTTGGGATTGAATGTGTGTATTTTTTGTTTTTATTTTTAGCAACTTTGAAAACAGGCTCTTTCCAATGAAACTCTATTTGCACATACAAAGTATGTATATAATATATATATATGATATGTATGTTTAAATTATGTCTGCAATCATCTGAAGGCATGAACGCGCATCAGCTGGCCTAGTTTGGCCCCAGTCTGCAGGTCAAATGTTCGCAATTCTAATTACAAGCTTCTTGTTTCTACTAGCTTCTTGTTACTAGTAGTAAGGCACTTGTTACTAGAAGCGATGCCAGGAGCCCCTAGTAGCGTCCTTGCTCCTACTCCGGCAAAAAGTACAAGTAACTCACGATATCTCACAGTATCACAATCAAACATTGCAAGTTTATATCCTTGACAAATATTGACAAACATGAAAAGTCAGGAGCATCTTCTGATGCCGCAAGCTCAAACTCATTCGACACCGCATACCAGCACCAACGAAGAAGAAATGCATTGTAGAGGACGCTACTAGGAGCGAAGGGCATCGCTGCTAGGGCCGCTAGGGGCTTCTGGCCTTACTCCTAGGAACAAGAAGCTATTACAGTAGAAACAAGAATTCAATAGACGCGAAGCTACGCATCCCATGTCGCATCCCACGGCGCGAAGCAATGCCACTGCCTGCGTCTCAACACGAGCTATGCGGGTGGATCTGCGGATCTCTGCGGCCGGGGCAGGCGCAGCCGGGAGGGGCTGAGACACAAGCTCTTCTTCAAAAGCATCTCCTCAGGAAGCTTGGCGAGCCAACCTACTAGCGATGGCCTCCACCTTACGTAGTAGCGATGGCCTCCAGCCTAATAGCAATGGCCTCAAAAGCATCTCCTCAGGAAGCTGATAGACATCCTGCGAGAGCGACATTTTGTCTTTTTGTCAGCTGTTCATTAAGTAAATTTGCGGAAAGGCTAGGTGCCAGTCAAATGAAGGAGCCAACCCTCTTTTGCACCAGTGTATTAGTGCGATTCAGTTTCATCCAGACTCGAGGATGTGTCGTCCACTTCAGACGGCATCTTATCACTTGGAAGTTTTACCAGGTTGTATGCTCGGTCTTCTGCTTCAATCTCATCGATGTGCTGGCCCTCCTCCTTCATTGCATTCTGTACGATGAAGCGGTACCATGCCCTTCCCACAAAGACGGAGATGAGGATTCCAACGAGACCAAGCAGGAGCGAGAAAAAATGAGGATTCTTACGTACCCAATCATCAAGTATGGCGGACAACCTGAACTTGCGCTTGTGCTCTTCACCCACTGATGCCAATGTGGCGGACTTTGTGGTCAAGATCATGTCGTAGGCAGTCTCAAATGCCTTGTCCCAACAAATGCCAACTAAGAAGCCGAAGCCGGCAATGGCCGCCCGGAGAACTTTGGGAAAGTCAGCATGCAAATCAAAGAGGCCAGAAGCAGCAGAAGCAGTCGAGTCAGAGCGTTGGACTTGTGATGTGCTCGCATCCCTCTCTGCATCCTCAACGGGATGTGTACCAGAAACAGTACCCCGATTCTTAGATTCTCCTTAGAAGGAGATCTTTCACCAAGTGGGAACATCGAAATATATAGAACATAGAAGCAAAGGAAGGGTCTGTGTTTAGGAGTCCAGGGCATGTACTGGCTGGAGGCTATGAGGCTCAATGAGGCTAGGTGGTTTCTATAAAGACTTCATGGAGTGCAATAAGGTTCGAACGATTCTCACAGGTGCGGTAAAGAATACAAATAAACATTGAACAAACAGTGTCCAAATGTTGCGGCTTTTGCTACTGTTCAAAGTCCGCTTAAAAGGCTTCAACATTCCGAGCGCTCTCACTACCAAAAGTACTTTCAGATCTTTCAGTGCGCGCTACTACACATGAGTAGCAATGCCAGGTCCTGCATTTCCATCATTTCCCAGTCCCCGTCATGGCAACAGGGTTTGCCCTGAAGCCGGTCTGCGATAATATCCATGACCACCATGAGCACAACGGCCACCACAGACATGACCAAAGCATTGAGAAGCGTAGCGCGGTTGGTCGCTTGGGGGTCGTTGAATGGGAGCTGCTCAATGGCCCGCGCATATTGTGCCTTGTTAGTGTTCCTGGTGTTCCAGTAGTCCTTTCTCACCTTGCAAATGTAGTAAAAGCCAATCAAGCCACCCCTTTGCAAACACCAACAGCCAGTCAAAGATGCCAGCTTCCCCACAAATTCCAAGAAGAAGGAGAAACAAACTGTCCCTTTCCTGCATTTTTTCTGGCACTTGATCGACCAACATGCAGAAAACCCAAGCAGCAATAATGCTAGAACTGCTAGACAAACAACTAGCCTCCAGTCACTTTTCACGGGATGCCCAGCAAGGATTGGCATGAATTTCTTCTCTTCTCGCGTGTCTGTACTGCCCACAAAGCAAATGGTTTGCACCAAAAGAAATCCGATCACAATGGCACTCGCCTCACCCTGCATCTCCTTCAACACATGGATTTGCTGCTTCTGTTTCCACTTCTCGGGACAATGTCTCTTGGCGAATGAGAGGACTCCTCCATAGAGCAACACCAGGAGAGTGAAGGCCAAAAAGGCCACCGCTACAAGCCATTCCCAGCATGGATTGTACTTCTGAATATGTCCGAAGACGATGATTCCTGCAAAGGCACAAACGTGCCCGCCCAGGTTGCCTCCTGCAAATAGAGTGCGATGATTCTCCTCTGTGAGGAGAGACCGATGGAGCCAGCTGAAAAAAGACATAGCCAAGACTGCGACAATGAGGATGACCCACCACATGTGTAAGACCTCCTCACGCTTTTCCTCCACCTGGATTAGGTCTAGCTTATCCCCTTTCAGATAGGTCTGGATCTTGAGGATGATGGTGGTCAAAACCCGAGTGAGGCCAAAGTCAAAGCTGCTGGCGCAAAAAATGGAGATGGTGGTGTTCACCAAATCCCAGCTTGCTCGCCGGATATCCTCATCATGACAATGAACCAAGTAGACCACGCCAGTGGAAATCACAAGGAAACCAATCAATGCCAAAGCTGTGGTCCAGGTCACATCATCCTGCTCAATCTCACCTTCCTCTTCCCCCAGCGCGGAAGACCACAGCATGCAAAGGCCCACGGCTCCAAGCTGCGCCATGACCCGCAGCAGTTCCGTCCCGTCCGACGCGTCTCGACTTTGGAGACTCCGATTCCGGTCGGATCCACCGGCCGGATCCGGCCGGCAGTCCTTGATCCCCGTTGATTGGCCGTTGATTGAGACATGATGAAAACATCACTTCACCATGACATGGCATGTGAAATTAAGAATGAACTGCCAGTCGACATGAACAGGTCACTTCCTTTTTGGAGGGTCTAATTGTTGTATTCCTATATGTATTCCTTTCATTTCTTTATCGCCTTCCCGAAAAATGAATGCGATTCCAAGTGGCCACAACATTCTCGCGGCAGATGCTGCCGTGCTTCCTTGGCGCAGGCGGAAGCCGCAGGTATCGCATCGCAGCCCAAGAGCGTCGCCATGAAGTCACTCGGTCCATGCGCAGCTGCGACTCTGCCCTTTCACTTCGGTCGTTGGTGGTGTGGTCCCCCAAAGGAATTCTGAAATCATCTATCTGGCCATGGGAGCTCCGCTTTGAAACATGTAATGACAGTAATTGACAGTATAGGTTTCTCTACCTGGCTTTGTTTGTTGAAGCTGTGCTTTTCATCACAGCCAGTATGGCCAGTGTGTTGTGGTGATGCCGAAGAATCAATCATACACCAAAGCCACCAGCTGAAGCTTCAGAATCAATCATGCAGAGTTCATTATATAAACTATTGCAGTATTACTGGCTTAGAGGGGTAGCGGGGGAATAATGAGTATTGAATAAAGCCCTGAACCTGGTTACCAGGTTCCATCCACTTGAACCGGACACTTCACCGAGATTTTGAGCCTTCGGTCCGACATGAAATGCCATCGGCTTGCACCTACCAGGCTTAGTGTTCTTCTTAGTGACTTAGTGTTCTCCTTGGTGCCTATTTCTCATCCCACAGTCCAGCGGCCTCACCGCACTGTCAATCCCGCGAAAGGTTCACACGCACTGGTGCCTAGTAGCTTCTTGTTACTAGTAGCAAGAATGCTCCTAGTAGTAAGGCCAGGAGCCCCTAGTAGCTTCCTTGCTCCTAGTACGATGCCAGGAGCCCCAAGTAGCAATTTGTTTCGGGGGAATCTTCACCACCACATGTCCTCTTGGGCACTTCCCAAACTACCCTCCACCAGTGACAGGAACCTTCGGCGCGCGCGCGCGCCTTGATGACAGATCTCCGTCTTTCTTGAGTGTCGTCTGGTCTCGTGGCCTGACGATGCGCTTCTCTTGCACGACTCTCTGAGGCCTCTCTTGAGTGCTTTAGCGACTTTAGCGATACAAGGATGTGGAAGTCTCTCTCGCACAAGCTGCTGGAGGATGATCGATCAAGTAAATACCGGGCAGCTTCTGATTGGAAAGCAAGCAAAAGCTAGATTCTCTTCTGGATCTCGCTTAATTCGAAGGGGGAAATACTAATTCACTTCACATATTCATGTAGTCGTTCAATTGTGACTTTCCGCCGACCCCGGTTGAAGCAAGGGGGAGCGCGTCAGGGAATACGGAGTTGCCGGGGGTGTCCTACCCTCCGCCTGTGCCAAGGACAACTTTCCAGGGACACAGTGTTGAAGGGAACATGAAGGTTGACGATGTCCATGCTAACATTTTCCAGGGACAGAAGGTTTCAGGACACAGGAGCACAGGGTTCAAGTGTTCGGGGATCCAGACGATCCAGAGGAGAATGGAAACCGGAGTTGCCGGGGGTGTCCTACCCTCCGCCTGTGCCAAGGACAACTTTCCAGGGACACAGTGTTGAACGGAACCTTAAGGTTGACGATGTCCATGCTAACATTTTCCAGGGACAGAAGGTTTCAGGACACAGGAACACAAGGTTCAAGTGTTCGGGGATCCAGACGATCCAGACGAGAATGGCAACAAACTTCTTTTTTGTCTAGGGATTCAGAGGCAGCGTGTGGCAGCGAAAGGGCAACCAGGGGAGGCTCGTTTTGGACCAGAATTAGATGGGGAAAAGCTGTGGCGGCGCCAGGTGTTCGGAGCGAGGATGGGCGCAAGAGAGGAAAGAAAAGCGTGATCACAGGAGTTTCGTTTTGGATCAGAATTAGGTGCAAGAAAGGAAAGAAAAGTCTTTTGTTTGATCTATTTATTTTGTTTGATTTATTTATAGGGATTCAGATCGAGGGGGCGTTTGACATCGAAAGTGCGATCAGGGGAGGCTCGTTTTG